TTGGATTAAAAAGGTTTAGCATGCTTTCTGAATTGACTAGGTTGGTTTTTATAAACTAATTGATGACGCATCAGGACGTTGTTGTTTGCGCTTTCAGTGTGACGTTGATGGGGTGGTTCCGTAGTCGATGGAGTCGGTTGACAGTTTTCAGTGTTTAACAACATTGGCTTCTCACTAAAATTAGGGTATATTTTTACAAAATTACGTTTTACTTCCTCATGTAATTCAGTAGATACTTTTTTGTTCTCACTTTACAACAACCGTTTTTCTTTCTTTGATCTAGATGGCGTTTTAAACTTGAAAGTTTTATCCATCTTTTACTGGCATTAAACTTTTAATTAATTTTGCTTTGATCATGAAAACCGTTGTCACTTGGTTCTTTTCAAAGAGAAAAGTTAGAATAAAAAATAAATTTGGTATGTCTAAAAAATATTTAAATGAGAGATGAGACCGCTTTTCATTGTTTTTTGATATAAACAGTGTTTTTTAGCACCATTGTTTTTTACTTTTTATTTTTAGAGAAAACTATACTTTCTGTTTTCCACTTTTTTTTTTTTTTTATTTTATTTAATATGACATAGCGAACTATTGTTATTAATTTTTTTTTGTAACAAAATTTTGCTTCATTGTTTCATTTCCTGTTTTTTTTTTTGCTACTTTTCGACTGTATGGTTTTTCTGATAAGAGATCCCTCTGTAATTCGTGCAGATGGGAGGCCGACATATACATCATGACGATGTTCATGGACTTTGGCGTCGTTATTTTTGTTGTTACTTTTGTAGTTGGTAATTAGAACACATTAAGGGAAGTGTTAATAGAAAGCTTTGGATTTTTATAATAATTCTTTCACAGTGACACTAACTGCTCTTTTTTTTGGATCTCCATTTTTGTTTTTTTTTCTCTATTTTTTTCATCAACTTCTGTATCGGATCCGTTGCACCATTTTGTTATTATTTGATGCATTCAACGGTAATTAGTGGCTTAATTAATCGTAATTGGACAAGCAAGAAGTAGTAGAGTGAAAAAATGATTAATCCGTTGTTGCTTTGAAGGCAGTTTAAATGAAATGCGATTAATAGGTGAATGTAGAAATTAGTGGCGTAGACGCTACGTTGTTATCTTCCGTATTTTTTTTTTTTTGTAGCCAGATGTCTTGTGAGTATACATGCTGTTGAGTTTAGTGTATTGTTGATTTTTGCTCTTTCCACTGTTATTAGTAGTATCAATTGACCATTCTATTTCTTTTTTTTTTATTTTAGAAACCTCAAAAAACAAAAAAAGAAAATAAAAGAAAAACGAGATAAAAAAGCAGTAATATTAAAAAAACAGAGAAAGAACAGGGTTTTTGTTGCCGTTTCTGTTGTCGGATTGAAGTATATCGGAGGAAAACTTGTCATTGATTGATCGTAATCGGTGAACTTAGAGTATTCCTTGGTTTTCGCTTCAGGCACTTTTGCCACGGGAACGCTGTGGTTGACTGGTTTCCGAATACGGTACGTTCGTTTTTCTGTTACTTTATTCGTTTTTAGACTATTGGAGAGGTTAAGCGGTTGTTCTATTTATTTTTTCTCCCGTTACACCAGTAATTAAATTGTTCTTGGAGTAGGGGGAACGTCTGGTTGTTTTCAATTCCGGTAGAAAGTTTCCCACTGTTTATAACTACGTGTTTTACAATTTTGTTGTTTTTTTTTATTTGCACAAGTAGAGTAATTTTTGGGTGGTAGACTGTATTAATATTGTTTATAACACATAGTTGTAAGAGAATTCTGTTCTTTTCTTATTTCTTTAATTCTTTTGAATAAATGCATTGGTTTTATATTTGGGCATTGGAGCAGAATTTGGTTTTTTTTAAATCAAGTTCCATGAGCCAGCTGTGGAAAAAATAAATTTTGCAATACTATTTTTGCATTTGGTGTTGTTTGTGAAAATTGTGTTTTGCCAAACTTCTAACTTTTATGTGGTTGATTTATAGTTGTTTTAACTAGCTTCGAAGTTTGATGGAAAATCTTGTTGATGGTTAGCTTTGTTATGTCCTGAGAACGGCTGGTTCTAATAGGCTCTTGTTCATTATCTTGGCTAGGAAATTGACCCACAGTTTTCACATGTATACTTTATGAAATAACCACGTCATTTTCCGTCCTAAGTTGTTGTACCCGCTGAAATTATTATTATTATTATTATTATTATTATTATTATTATTTATTTTATTTTATTTTATTTTTTTTTTTTGTCATTATCTTTACCGTTATTCCATCCTGATTTTTTTTTAAAAAGTTTTTTATTTCTTTTACCCTGCAGTTGATTTAGTTATTCTTGTGGTAATAAGTAGATTTTGATCATTTTTGGCCTTTGCCGTTTGTTTAGTGTACGTAATGCTGAAACCATCGGCAGAAAGTTCTGACGCCAAGCAGAATGTAGGGTCTTCAGTTGGCGGGCGCCTGAAGCAGAAGATAAACAAAGATTACTGCTACAGCCGCGAAGAAATGCTACGCATTTCAAAGTGTGAACTAAGTTTACAGCGTCCGTCGTACCTTTCTACAGAATTTGACAAGTAAATTTTACATCTTGTTTTTATTATTTTGTTACTTGGTAACTAATATTTCCAGCAGTTTACGTTTGACTCTGTTCAAAATTGCTGTTAATGGATTGTTCTTGGATCTTCTATGCATTTTTTTTTT